ATATATTTTGGAGATTAATCCTTTGTCCGTTGACTCATTTGCAAATATTTTCTCCCATTCTGAGGGTTGCCTTTTTGTCTTGTTTACGGCTTCCTTTGCTGTGCAAAAGCATTTAAGTTTCATTAGGTCCCATTTGTTTATTTTTGCTTTTATTTCCATTACTCTAGGAGGTGGGTCAAAAAGGATCTTGCTGTGATTTATGTCAAAGAGTGTTCTTCCTATGTTTTCCTCCGGGAGTTTTATAATGTCCGGTCTTACATTTAGGTCTCTAATATATTTTGAGTTTATTTTTTTGTATGGTGTTAAGAATTGTTCTAATTTCATTCATTTACATGTAGCTGTCCAGTTGTCCCAGCACCACTTATTGAAGAGACTGTCTTTTCTCCATTGTATATCCTTGCCTCCTTTGTCATAGATTAGTTGACCATAGGTGCGTGGGTTTATCTCTGGGCTTTCTATCTTGTCCCATTGATCTGTATTTCTGTTTTTGTGCCAGTACCATATTGTCTTGATTACTGTAGCTTTGTAGTATAGTCTGAAGTCAGGGAGTCTGATTCCTCCAGCTCTGTTTTTTCCGCTCAAGACTGCTTTGGCTATTCGGGGTCTTTTATGTCTCCATACAAATTTTAAGATTTTTTGTTCTAGTTCCGTAAGAAATGCCATTGGTAATTTGATAGGGATTGCATTGAATCTGTAGATTGCTTTGGGTAGTATAGTCATTTTCACAATATTGTTTCTTCCAATCCAAGAACACGGTATATGTCTCCATCTGTTGGTATCATCTTTAACTTCTTTCATCAGTGTCTTATAGTTTTCTTCATACAGGTCTTTTGACTCACTAGGTAGGTTTATTCCTAGGTATTTTATTCTTTTTGTTGCAATGGTAACTGGGAGTGTTTCCTTAATTTCTCTTTCAGATTTTTCATCATTAGTGTATAGAAATGCAAGAGATTTCTGTGCATTAATTTTGTATCCTGCAACTTTATGAAATTCATTGGTTAGCTCTAGTAGTTTTCTGGTGGCATCTTTAGGATTCTCTATGTATAGTATCATGTCATCTGCAAACAGTGACAGTTTTACTTCTTCTTTTCCAATTTGTATTCCCTTTATTTCTTTTTCTTCTCTGATTTCCATGGCTGGGACTTCCAAAACTATGTTGAATAATAGTGGTGAGAGTGGACATCCCGTTTTGTTCCTGATCTTAGAAGAAATGCTTTCAGTTTTTCACCATTGAGAATGATGTTTGCTGTGGGTTTGTCATATATTGCCTTTATTATGTTGAGGTAGGTGCCCTATATGCCCACTATCTGGAGAGTTTTTATCATAAATGCATGTTGAATTTTGTCCAAAGCTTTTTCTGCGTCTATTGAGATGATCATATGGTTTTTATTTTTCAATTTGTTAATATGGTGTATCACCTTGATTGATTTGCATATATTGAAGAATCCTTGCATCCCTGGGATAAATCCCACTTGATCATGGTGTATGATCCTTTTAATGTGTTGTTGGATTCTGTATTTTGTTGTATTTTGTTGAGGATTTTTGCATCTATGTTCATCAGTGATATTGGTTTGTAATTTTCTTTTTTTGGAGTATCTTTGTCTGGTTCTGGTATCAGGGTGATGGTGGCCTTATAGAATGGGTTTGGGAGTGTTCCTTCCTCTGTTTTTTGGAAGTGTTTGAGAAGAATGAGTGTTAACTGGAGTGTTAGCGCTTCCCTAAATGTTTGATAGAATTCATCTGTGAAGCCATCTGGTCCTGGACTTTTGTTTGTTGGAAGATTTTTAACCACCGTTTCAATTTCATTACTTGTGATTGGTCTGTTCATATTTTCTACTGCTTCCTCGTCCAGTCTTGGAAGGTTATACGTTTTTAAGCATTTGTCCATTTCTTCCAGGTTGTCCATTTATTGGCATAGAGTTGCTTGTAGTAGTCTCTTAGGATGCTTTGTATTTCTGCGGTTTCTGTTGTAACTTCTCCTTTTTCATTTCTAATTTTATTGGTTTGAGTCCTCTCCCTCCTTTTCTTGGTGAGTCTGGCTAATGGTTTATCAATTTTTTTTATCTTCTCAAGGAACCAGCTTTTAGTTTTATTCATATTTGCTACTGTTTTCTTTGTTTCTATTTCATTTATTTCTGCTTTGATCTTTATGATTTCTTTCCTTCTGATAACTTTGGGTTTTGTTTGTTCTTCTTTCTCTAGTTCCTTTAGCTGTAAGGTTAGATGGTTTACTTGAGATTTTTCTTGTTTCTTGATGTAGGCTTATATTGCTATAAATTTCCCTCTTAAAACTGCTTTTGCTGCATCCCATAGGTTTTGGATTGTCGTTTTTTCATTGTGACTTATGTCTAGGTATTTTTTGATTTCCTCTTTGTTTTCTTAAGTGATCTCTTGGTTATTAAGTACTAGATATTTATTGTTTAGCCTCCATGTGTCTGTATTTTTCACAGATTTTTTTCCTGTAATTGATATCTAGTCTCATAGCATTGTGGTCAGAAAAGATATTTGATATGATTTCAATTTTCTTAAATTTACCAAGGCTTGATTTGTGACCCAAGATATGATCTATCCTAGAGATTGTTCATTCCATGAGCACTTGAGAAGAAAGTGTATTCTGTCGTTTTTGGATGGAATGTCCTATAAATATCAATTAAGTCCATCTTGTTTAATGTGTCATTTAAAGCTTGTGTTTCCTTATTTATTTTCATTTTGGTACATCCCAGTTTTCTGAGAGTTAGTAAAAACAGAATCCACAACACATTCAGAGTGCTATGTTAAGTACATTAAGTACTTAATAATTAGGTAAAATTCTGAAGAGAAAACAGAATTTTCAAATATATGCCCATCAGCCCAGTGAAGAGTCAGTGACACTCCAAATTCTTAGACCGAGCCTGTCCAAACATATGGGGTTTGTCAATACTGGACAAAGAGAATTTCAAGTTGAGTAATTACTCAGATAATTTGACTCTGGGAGAGTTTGCTTTCATCATGCAAACCAGCAGTTCCCCTCTTCCTGTCCTCCTCTGGTCTCCACTTCCTAGTCCTGTTTTCCCCTAGCATATTTTTTATCTGCATTATCTATAGACAACTATATCCACCTCCATCTCACTTTGACTGTATAGATGATGGCCTTGGCTACGTATATGTACACATTAAATACAGTAGATGTTCAAAGGAATTGGATGGCTGAAGTGCAATGGTCCAAAATCTGTTTTCCTCTACTGTACAGCTCTAGTCACAGTGAACTGTGTGTTTACAATCATCTAGTGAGTTAATGTGAATTAATGAATTTAGACATTAAGTCTACCATCCTGGACTGTCTTTTGCAGATCTGGATTATTTGGATGTTTGTCTAGACTTGACTACAGACATATCCAGGTGCACAGGCCTATTTCAACATATGTTTAGGCCATGTAGATGATCCAGATAATTCCAAGTTCAAGTATTTCCTACTTTTTTAAACTGAAGTATAGTTGATTTACAACATTGTGTTAGATTCAGGTATACAGCAAAGTGCAAATATTTCCTGCTTTACTAATGCCCATCCCGGACCACTTTGAATACCTCTCCCTTTTACCTGGTTTCTGGGTCAGTTAGAATGTCTCTGAGCCAGAGTGTTGATTCAGTACTGATCTTGAGAGTAAGAATGGAGGACAGTAGGAAGCTGCATGTCACCAGGCATGGCCAAAAAAAAAAAAGAATGGGGGACCGGCATGGATTCCAAAAGAAAAGAGCTCTGCCAAATAGCAGGATGAGAAGAATATTCAGGTTGACTCAATGGCCAAGATTTACAAGTGTATAAATGAGTTTAATTTTTCAGTTTTTAAGTGGCCTTCAGTATTCACATCCATATTGGTGATATAACAGAAAGAAACTGGTATTTGGAAAATTCACTATCTATTTTATTCTCTCTCAAGAGCTAATTCTGAGGTTTGCATTTTACCCCTGGCTACATGTAATGATTAGGTAAACTAGGTAACTGTTAAATCTCTAAGGTAATTGTTAAATCTGAGCTAGGATAAAATGTGATTGTAGGGGATCTACCCTGGCCATGTTCTCTACTGATCTGTTGCTCTTTTCTGTTGGGGCCATGGAAAGTAAGATGGGGAGAAATGTTGAGGGAGAAGGATAATGGTATATTAGGAGCGCTCCTTAGAAGTTTGAACTCACTGGGTTGTAGATTTAGATATAGATTCAGAGTCTTCCCCTCCCCCAAATCATAGACCTGTGGTAAGAGTTAATAGGTGCTACTGCCTAGGGTATTCTCTTTCTTAGTGCACTCATGGAACTAAACAACAATGCAGATATGAAAAAAGGAATTTTATTTCAATTTCAAACCCATTGTATGAATTTCTTTCCTAGAACACATATATAATCTGGTTGAGGCATAAATTGAGAGACTGGGAAACGACAGTCTTCCATTTAACTTTTGCCACAGTTAAATCACATGGGGTTAAACAAGAGTTAATTTAACATAATTCATAGGAAAAGGCAAATGCTGAATTTGTAAGCATTTCTCCTAAGGTGTTAATATTGCAGTACCCAGCCCACCAAAAACAAAATCAAAAGCCCTTTATTCATACTAGTGGGTGTGTTTAGCTCTAGGTACCCAATGTCAGCCTGGCCTTTGTAATTGACTTGAGTGCTTCTTCCCCAGTCATTACAAAGCTCCCATCTCAGGGCAGGACAGTGAGGAGTCGGGCGTGAGTCTTGCTGATGGCTTGTCTTTCCCAAAGCATGTTTTGTGGAACTGGGCCTTTAGGGCTGCAGTTTCCTGCACAAATCTTGGCCTCCGTATTTTCTCCTGCAGTCTGGTTTCTGGTTTGGATGCGCTCAGATGACCGGCATCTCCTGGCTCGCTGACACCCCACAGGAGGTAAGTATATAAAAGGCCAGAGGCCACGGTTGTTCATGGGAGGAGGACTACCTGGCAAAGGTGGGTGGTTTCCATGTGGAATACTGTTGAGAAGTGCTCCAGGGCAGGGACTGACCAAACTTTTCTAGTGGTCGAGGCACTTGTCTGAATTTCTTGGAATGAAAATCATTCCCAGCAGGTCGCTGGTCTCATCTGGGTGCAAAGATAAGTCATTTTTCTTCTGCATCTTTTCAACACATTGACCTTGCAATGTCTGCACGTGGAAGCGTCTCAGAAGTGTGACCAGGGTGACCTTCATCATCACCATGGCAATGTATTTTCCCGGACAGGCCCGGGGCCCAAAGCCAAATGGCTGAAAGTACCTGTAAGGAACCTAGGAAAATGATCAGACAATTAGCCAGAGAAGTAAAGGCTAGAGTCATGCATATCTGTTTGATTCACCCTGAAAACACTGTGAGTCAGAATGCTCAGTTTTGGTGACTTGGCCATACTGCTCCTTCACGGAGAGGAATGACTGTAACTCAGATAAGCCTCTTTCTCCCTCCAGTTTGATTCACCCTTTGTGATACGGACACAACTTCAAACAATCCCCAGTTTTGCTTTTCATGTAAATACTCAACTAGCTCTGTGGGAAGACCACGGCTTTACTGCTGTTCTGCCAGTCATTGAGGCAAAGATTGTTTTTGTGCCAGGCCATATAACATGATGAAAAGGACCAATGTAGGCAAAGGTGTGGATTCCCTGTCTATTAGTGCCAAGGATCTAAATATATTTAGTTATACAAATATTTAATGGGACACCTCTGCCTGTCTTGTCCCCATTTGGACTCACGTAGTGCCTGACACTTAATACACGCTCAGTAAGTTATTTTTGACCAATTGCCAACATGGCGTGGGTTGCTTATATAGAAATGGAATGAATTAGACAACTGGTTTAACTAAGATCATATTTCCATATGCATATGGAAAAAGGGGGCACAGAGGGAACTATCTGGATAATTCAGGTTAAAAAAATCATTGCCTAGAATTGACATAATGGAGGCAGAATCTCCAGCACACCTCAATTACAGGAAAAGAAGAAGCTGAGGCTCTTCTAATTACAAAGTCTTGTATAGAATGAGGCCTAGTGCTTGTGGGGCCATTTGGGAAACCAAAGGCCCACTGCAAAAACCAAATCTTTCCTTCTCACTTGATTTCCATCTGAAGCAGAAGTGGATTTCCTTGACTTAGATGATGCTACGGCTGAATCTACATGGTGACAAGGTGATAAGTTTAAATGGAAAAGTTAAGTTTAAATGTGTTGGTTAAAGAAAATTTGCCTCATTTTAAGCAAATTAAGGGCCTGAATTATTCACCTTTTGACCTATTTTGTACCTCCATGAAGATTTCTGAGAGTTGGAGAGCCAGCCTCCTTGCCTTGAGGACAGACATGGTGGCCATGTTCCAAGCTAGGAGAAATGTGTTTTCCTGATGAGGTGTGAAGAGAATGAGTAAATAGAATGAAATATACATGGTGCAGACACAGAAACAGAGAGGACTTAAGAGTTGACATTTTCAAGAGTGGCGCACTCAGTTTTAAGGCAGGGCTCTTACATTCTTGGCAAAGTTTTCAAGAGTAAATTCATTGGGCTTGGGGAAAAACTCGAGTCTATGCATTCTTCCAATATTCAGGATAATGTTAGTCCCCTTTTTCACTGGGTAGCCATCGATGACATCATCCTCTAAGGCTTTGCGCATGACCAGGTCCACGACAGGCTGGTACCGCATGCTCTCATAAATAAAGTTTTCTACCACTTTTAGTTTTTGCATATCATCAATCCTTATGTCTCTTTCACCTGTGGGATCAGATAAAAAGGACAAAGGAGGTCATGTTAGTTTCAACATGTGATGGGCATAAAACTCCTAGTTTCAGATCAGTATAGTTATAGGTCAGTTCGGTCTTGGTTGAAAAAATTTATATATATAATTGTAAAATATTTTGTGTTTGGTCCACAGAGTGTCTTATGAAAATTCAGATTTGAAGTCAATTATCTTAACATCTGAGAGATTTCATAGAAATCTCTGGATTTGTAGAGAAATAAAAAAACAAGTTACATTGGACTCACATCCCCACATGACAATAGTTAGCTGAGGGTGTGTGGCTGATGAGCCCTTTAGAGGAACTTCTTCTCTGCAGCATCATGTAGACCTACCTAATCTACTTTAAACATTTATTGCCACCTCTGTGGTTCTTTAGTTTTGTCCTCTACTCTGAATTCCAGAAGACATTCATTCCTCCTCTAGTCAAGTGAGATGGTGAGATTAATGATGTTCACAGAAATTTTCTCTTCTGGTATCCAATGCAGTCATCTGTCAGAAAATATCACTGATAGCTACCCACCACCACTCTCTCCCATCAGGAAACTTGCACGAGCCTCTTAGATAGCCTCATCCACCACAGGGAAGACAGCAGAAGCAAGAAGACCTACAATCCTGCAGCCTGTGGAACAAAAACCACATTCACAGAAAGATAGACAAGATGAAAAGGCAGAGGGCTATGTACCAGATGAAGGAACAAGGTAAAACCCCAGAAAAGCAACTAAATGAAGTGGAGATAGGCAACCTTCCAGAAAAAGAATTCAGAATAATGATAGTGAAGATGATCCAGGACCTTGGAAAAAGAATGGAGGCAAAGATGAAGAGGATGCAAGAAATGTTTAACAAAGACTTAGAAGAATTAAAGAACAACCAAACAGAGATGAACAACACAATAACTGAAATGAAAAGTACACTAGAAGGAATCAATAGCAGAATAACTGAGGCAGAAGAACGGGTAAGTGACCTAGAAGACAAAATGGTGGAATTCACTGCTGCGGAACAGAATAAAGAAAATGAATGAAAAGAAATGAAGACAGCCTAAGAGACCTCTGGGACAACATTAAACACAACAACATTCGCATTATAGGGGTCCCAGAAGGAGAAGAGAGAGAGAAAGGACCCAAGAAAATATTTGAAGAGGTTATAGTCGAAAACTTCCCTAACATGGGAAAGGAAATAGCAACCCACGTCCAGGAAGTGCAGAGAGTCCCATACAGGATAAACCCAAGGAGAAACATGCCAAGACACATAGTAATCAAATTGGCAGAAATTAAAGACAAAGAAAAATTATTGAAAGCAGCAAGGGAAACTTGACAGATAACATACAGGGGAACCCCCATAAGGTTAACAGCTGATTTCTCAGCAGAAACTTTACAAGCCAGAAGGGAGTGGCATGATATACTTAAAGTGATGAGAGGGAAGAACCTACAACCAAGATTACTTGACCCACAAAGGATCTCATTCAGATTTGATGGAGAAATCAAAAGCTTTACAGACAAACAAAAGCTAAGAGAATTCAGCACCACCAAACCAGCTCTATAAGAAATGCCGAAGGAACTTCTCTAAGTGGGAAACACAAGAGAAGAAAAACTTACAAAAACAAACCCAAAACCGTTAAGAAACTGGTAATAGGAAAATACATATGGATAATTACCTTAAACATGAATAGATTAAATGCTCCAACCACAAGACGCAGGCTCGCTGAGTGGATACAAAAAACAAGACCCATATATATGCTGTCTACAAGAGACCCAATACAGACCTAGGTACACATACAGATTGAAAGTGGGGGGATGGAAAAAGATATTCCATGCAAATGGAAATGAAATAAAGCTGCAGGAGCAATACTCATATCAGATAAAATACACTTTAAAATAAAGAATGTTACAAGAGACAAGGAAGGACACTACATAATCTAGGAAACAATCCAAGCAGAAGGTATAACAATTATAAATATGTATGCACCCAACATAGGAGCACCTCAATACCTAAGGCAACTGCTAACAGCTATAAAAGAGGAAATCGACATTAACACAATAAGAGTGGGGGACTGTAACACCTCAGTTACACCAATGGACAGATCATTCAGACAAAAAATTAATAAGGAAACACAAGTGTTAATTGACATAATAGACCAGATAGATTTAATTGATATTTATAGGACATTCCATCCAAAAACAGCAGATTACACTTTCTCCTCAAGTGCTCACAGAACATTCTCCAGGATAGATCACATCTTGGGTCACAAATCAAGCCTCAGCAAATTTAAGAAAATTGAAATCATATCAAGCATCTTTTCTGACCACAAACGCTATGTGATTAGAAATCAATTACAGGGAAAAAAAATGTAAAAAACAGAAACACATGGAGGCTAAACAATACGTTACTAAATAACCAAGAGATCACTGAAGAAATCAAAGAGGAAATCAAAAAATACCTAGAGACAAATGAAAATGAAAACAGGACGATCCAAAACCTATGGGATGCAGCAAAGCAGCTTTAAGAGGAAAGTTTATAGCAATATAAGCCTACATCAAGAAACAAGAAAAATCTCAAGTAAACCATCTAACCTTACAGCTAAAGGAACTAAAGAAGAACAAACAAAACCCAAAGTTATCAGAAGGAAAGAAATCATAAAGATCAAAGCAGAAATAAATGAAATAGAAACAAAGAAAACAGTAGCAAATATGAATAAAACTAAAAGCTGGTTCCTTGAGAAGATAAAAAAAATTGATAAACCATTAGCCAGACTCACCAAGAAAAGGAGGGAGAGGACTCAAACCAATAAAATTAGAAATGAAAAAGGAGAAGTTACAACAGAAACCGCAGAAATACAAAGCATCCTAAGAGACTACTACAAGCAACTCTATGCCAATAAATGGACAACCTGGAAGAAATGGACAAATGCTTAAAAACGTATAACCTTCCAAGACTGGACGAGGAAGCAGTAGAAAATATGAACAGACCAATCACAAGTAATGAAATTGAAACGGTGGTTAAAAATCTTCCAACAAACAAAAGTCCAGGACCAGATGGCTTCACAGATGAATTCTATCAAACATTTAGGGAAGCGCTAACACTCATCCTTCTCAAACTCTTCCAAAAAATTGCAGAGGAAGGAACACTCCCAAACCCATTCTATGAGGCCACCATCACCCTGATACCAGAACCAGACAAAGATACTACAAAAAAAGAAAATTATAGACCAATATCACTGATGAATATAGATGCAAAAATCCTCAACAAAATACTAGCAAACAGAATCCAAGAACACATTAAAAGGATCATGCACCATGATCAAGTGGGATTTATCCCAGGGATGCAAGGATTCTTCAATATACTCAAATCAATCAACATGATATACCATATTAACAAATTGAAGAATAAAAACCATATGATCATCTCAATAGATGCTGAAAAAGCTTTGGACAAAATTCAACAGCCATTTATGATAAAAACTCTCCAGAAAGTGGGCATATAGGGCACCTACCTCAACATAATAAAGACAATGTACGACAAACCCACAGCAAAGATCATTCTCAATGGTGAAAAACTGAAAGCATTTCTTCTAAGATAAGAAACAAGACAAGGATGTCCACTCTCACCACTATTATTCACCATAGTTTTGGAAGTCCTAGCCAAGGCAATCAGAGAAGAAAAAGAAGTGAAAGGAATACAAATTGGAAAAGAAGAAGTAAAACTGTCACTGTTTGCAGATGACATGATACTGTATATAGAGAATCCTAAAGATGCCACCAGAGAACTACTAGAGCTAATCAATGAATTTGGTAAAGTTGGAGGATACAAGATTAGTGTGCAGAAATCTCTTGCATTCCTATATACTAATGTTGAAAAATCTGAAAGAAAACTTAAGGAAACACTCCCAGTTACCATTGCAACAAAGGAGTAAGATACCTAGGAATAAACCTATCTAGGGAGACAAAAGACCTGTATGAAGAAAACTATAAGACACAGATGAAAGAAATTAAAGATGATACCGACAGATGGAGAGATATACCGTGTTCTTGGATTTGAAGAATCAATATTGTGAAAATGACTATACTACCCAAAGCAATCTACAGATTCAATGCAATCCCTATCAAATTACCAATGGCCTTTTTTACAGAACTAGGACAAATAAATCTTAAATTTTGTATCGAGACACAAAAGACCCTGAATAGCCAAAGCAGTCTTGAAGGAAAAAAATGGAGCTGGAGGAATCAGACTCCCTGACTTCAGACTATACTACAAAGCTATAGTAATCAAGACAATATGGTACTGGCACAGAAACTGAAATATAGATCAATGGAAGAAGATAGAAAGCCCAGAGATAAACCCACACACCTATGGTCAAGTAATCTATGACAAAGGAGGCAAAGATATACAATGGAGAAAAGACAGTCTCTTCAATAAGTGGTGCTGGGACAACTGGACAGCTACATGTAAACGAATGAAATTAGAACAATCCTTAACACCATACAAAAAAATAAACTCAAAATATATTAGAGACCTAAATGTAAGACCGGACATTATAAAACTCCTGGAGGAAAACATAGGAAGAACACTCTTTGACATAAATCACAGCAAGATCCTTTTTGACCCACCTCCTAGAGTAATGGAAATAAAAGCAAAAATAAACAAATGGGACCTAATGAAACTTAAATGCTTTTGCACAGCAAAGGAAGCCGTAAACAAGACAAAAAGGCAACCCTCAGAATGGGAGAAAATATTTGCAAATGAGTCAACGGACAAAGGATTAATCTCCAAAATATATAACCAGCTGATGCAGCTCAATATTAAAAAAAGGAACCGAATCCAAAAATGGGCAGAAGACCTAAACAGACATTTCTCCAAAGAAGACATACAGATAGCTAAGAAGTACATGAAAAGCTGCTCAACATCACTAATTATTAGAGAAATGCAAATCAAAACTACAATGAGGTATCGCCTCACACCAGTTAGAATTGGCATCATCAGAAAATCTGCAAACATCAAATCCTGGAGAGAGTTTGGAGAAAATGGAACCCTCTTGCACGGTTGGTGGGAATGTAAATTGATACAGCCACTATGGAGAACAGTATGGAAGTTCCTTATAAACTAAAAATAGAATTACCATACGACCCAGCAATCCCACTACTGGGCATATACCCAGAGAAAACCATAATTCAAATAGGCACATGCACCCCAATGTTCATTGCAGCACTCTACAATAGCCAGGTCATGGAAGCAACCTAAATGCCCATCGACAGACGAATGGATAAAGAAGGTGTGGTACATATATACAATGGAATATATCTCAGCCATGAAAAGGAACGAAACTGGGTCATTTGTAGAGATGTGGATGGATCTAGAGACTGTCATACAGAGTGAAGTAAGTCAAAAAGAGAAAAACCAATATCGTATATTGACACATATATTTGGAACCTAGAAAAATGCTACAGATGAACTGGTTTGTAGGGCAGAAATTGAGACACAGATGTAGAGAAGAAACGTATGGACACCAAGGGGGAAAAGCAGTGGGGGGTGTGGGTCGTGGTGTGATGGATTGGGAGATTGGGATTGACATGTATACACTGATGTGTATGAAATGGATGACTAATAAAAACCTTCTGTATAAAAAAGTAAAGAAAATTAAAAAAAAAAAAAGAAAAATATCACTGTTAGTCTCTCCTCCTCATCTCATCAAGGACAACCTGGGTGGTAGCGTGTCAAGAACGCCCTCTCTCCATCACAACAAATCGGGTGCCTCATCTGCTCCAGGTGAGCTGGGGATTGATGGACACCTCCATGTCTCAGCTTGGCTTGACACTGGTCAAAGAGGCTTGGATTACTCTCAGAATTGTCAAAACTTCAAAGCATCCTGAAATGGGCTACTGTTTTTGCAGAATGCAAGTCAACCCAGGGTCCTGAGGCAGCTCTGTCTCCTGTACAGTTAGGTTATTCGGGAATGGTCTCACTTGGTTAGAGAACTTTAACAACACAGCCCCTCACATACTGCTTTTCGAACACAGTAAGAGTCTAATGGGTGTATTTATCTGTGGTGGGGAGTTAGAGGGCAGATGATGGAGAAGGTAACAAAAGGCATACTTTTAGAAGTAATTACCAGTCCTGTGGGTCTAGGGGGAACAAGTATACATGTACTAGTGGTTGTCCCAGTTTTATCTTTCAAGAGGACTGTCGTGTCAGGGGGATATCAAGGGGCACAAGAACTTTTCACGTCTCAAGGAAATTGTATTAAAGGTTTATGATCTCAAGAGCAGTTTCCCCTGTGTTGCCTGTACCCCCATCATTCTGTGACTCTTTCTCACTCCACTGAGCTTGTTTCTTGAATTCTCTTTTTCTCACGAGACTGAGAGCCCAGGACTGAAGGGATGGCACTGGCTTGTTCACCGCGGTGCCCTTGCACCTGGCACAGAACCCATAACCTGAAAAGGGTGCTTGAGAAAACATTCCAGGATTTGAAACCCGGATGTCATTCTGGCTCCTTGCTATCTACCTTCCCAGGCAGTGGCCCTCCTATGGCAACGCGTCTGCAGAACCCTTTCACATATTTAATCCGTGTATGAAATTTCCCCTTGTCATCTGTTTCAGGCAGCACTCAAATGGTTTTAAAGATAAATAAGATAAAAAGTTTAAAACATACATGGTGCCTTTTAACAACAAAATACGTTGTTTCACAGAGACCTGTAAAGTCAAGAAAGAAAAATCTATATCATTACTGATACCCCTTCACATGTGTCTGAAATGTGTTCCTAAAGAGATTACTTATGTGAAGCACATTCCAAATAAGGCAATCTGTTTTCTCCAGAAAGCAGTTCTGACTTCTGAACGTGGCAGCGTCTCCAGGGAAGGGTGGGGATATCCGAAGCAGTGGCAGAGTGATGCTGAAGCAGTGGGAGAGCAGGGAGGGGACAGAGTGGGGAAGAGCTGAGCAGGGACCTGGAGGCTGTCCTGCAGAGGAGGAGGAGCGGGTGGGTGAGGGAAACTGATTGCTCCCCTGCCTCTGCTATCATCACCCTTTCCTCCTCCCTCTGCCACCACCTGGAAGAATGGGCTGCTTGAAACCCAGAAACACTGCAGAAAATGATAGCCATTTCCCTGGGTGAAAAAAGCCTTTTGTCACTGATAAGGTAGCAAATCCTTGTGGATGATCCCATGTTTTTTTAAACACAGACAAATAGAACCGCATATATGTGTTTATGTGCCCATCAAAAAAGACCTTGAAGGATACACATCAAAATATTAACAGTGATTCCCCCTGGGGAATGGGAAGGAGAGTGGAAGCGATCAGGAAATAATACTTTCTGCTTTATACATCTCTCTATTATTTGGATTTTTTTCCAGCCAGCGTGTATTTTTTTTTTATATTAGAAAAACACAGACACCTGTTTGGCATAATGAAAATATGACACATTGACTTGCTTTGTTGGTTCTCTGGGTGGCTTCTAATAAAGATTTTGACATAAGATTCTTAGGAATCTTGCTTGATAGATTCTTACCAACAACAGTCTGGATTTCCTTCATTATTGCCTCTTCAACCTGGGGGTGCTTTGCAATGAGAAGCATCATGAAAAACACAGAGATGGACATGGTGTCCGGTGCTGCGATCAGCATTTCCAGTACGCACTGGTTCACATTCTCTCTTGTCAGGTCACCACGCTTCTGGACAATTGAAAGCGGAGAGAAACATTGGCAATGTGAATGAACGGTTCAGAACAGGAGGGAGGGTGGCACTCAAGGATTAATTTGTTGAGGGTGGACCTCAACAAAATGAAATCATAGAAATTATGTGTCTTTGGGTCTGATGATGGACATTTGCATTAACAATCTTCATCTCAAAGCTGAAGAACTTAACGAAATATCTATGTGTTTAGTGTCTTTGGATTCCCCAGTTTTCCTGTTTTTATTGTGCAGAAACACAGAAGTTTCAGTCTTAAAGGTCAGTCTTACCTGACTGTCTAATAGGGGGCTATTGGATTGGTCATTATAGAAGTACTGGAGCATATAGTCAAAGCAGAAACATGCCACAATTAACAGGAGAGAATTTTTAGACACTGATCAGTCATACACGTATGTTGTGTGGGAATTAGGGTTAGTTCAGGTCTGTACCTCAGCCAAAATCAACTCAGTGGTGAAATCCATTGAGTCTTCCAGTTTCTCTGCTATGAAAATCCTGCGTCTTTTTTTTTCTACCAGAATTTCCATTTCGTCTTTCAGCTCCTCGCTGGAAAAAACAGTGTAAATATTATCTACTTGTACACAGATATGACATCTAGATAAATGGATTTGTTTGCCATGTTTAAAAATAAAATGATCTGCTTTAGTGGAAGCCATTAGTGCTCATGAATAACTGAATTTATACTTAATTCTTCACAAATATTCTTAAATTACATACACATTATATCATGTTAAGGAACCAGAGTTAGCCCATGTATCTCGGCAGTGGTAGCGAAATCAAGGCTGTAACTGTAGTTAAGAGTTGAAAACTGGTACCAAATGGCTAAATCCATTTATGTTTTCTGCTATTTTATTGGGCCAGCACAGTGCTTAAGTTAAACGTCAAAAACCAAAGCCAGTGAATGCCTTTAGTGGGAGCATGCACTCTCCAGTCTGCCATGGGCACCTCCATTTCCTGTGTCTTACATCCACCCAGCCCACTTTTATCTGCATAGTCTCGAAGACAATTGAGTTTGAGGTTCCTCTTCTACACAGGAAGTATTTTTCCTGATATTTATCTCATACCTTGCAGTTTCTGCCTCCTAGTAACACTAAGTAAATATTTGTTGAACGAATGACTGTCTGCATCAATATGCATATGCCTTTTGACGGTGTGCAGGAGGGAAAAACACCTTCGACCAAAGGGTCAGGTTCTGGTCCAGGTTGTTGTCGTTCCATGTAACCTAGTTTAAGTCTCTGAGTCTTACGTCTCTTTTAAAGTGAAGGGATCAGGCTAGATGAACAATAAGGCCACCTTGAGATCTCAATTCTGTTATCTTTAACTTTGTCTTTAATGTATGCATTCACGTATAATTGTATTGTTCCCCAATGTCAGGGAACAGTATTCTGTATTATGTTAAATGTACAGTAAATCTTTCTTTCAAATTCTTGTTGACACAGTTGCCTACACGCTTAAATACTCTGTTGACCTAAATAGCCTCTATGTTTACTTCAGTTCAACAGGAAAAGTAACGGAGGATTCTTTAAGATACCTCCTATCTTTAAAAGTTTTTTGGGGGGGCATCTCAAGGAAGATGTTTAAACATTCTGAGAGATATTCTTCAGGGTAGCATTTTCATTGTGTCATTCTAAATAAGGATGCCTACTATTGTTTATCTCTGTGAGTATGCTTTATAGGCGCGCGCACAAACACACACACTCACCAATCCAGATATACAGCAGGGATATATTCACGTTTATTCATTTACCTACCCATCCATTTGTTCAGCAAATATTTGTTGAGTATCTCCTACATTTATTCAATAGTGGGCTAGAATGCTCATAGCATTCCTACCTAAGCAATGGCCCCCAAATGGCCTGGGATGTATTGAAATGCCCCTAGACTTTGAATTCCTAGAGAATTTCTTGATGGAGCTGCATCCACTTCTAAGCATCTCCTTCCTCCCTGGGCCAGAATCAGGGGCCTGTGAATATCCACTGGGATTCCTCCTATTCAGGTTAAAATTTGCTTCTGCTTAAATGTATGTATTTGAATTTGTATGTCATTAAAAACTAGGAGAATTGAGTTAAATGTCAGTTTCCAGGAAATCAGAAGTCTCTGACTCACAAATTATATTGCAAGAATTCCTCTGTTTGTACGAAAATAATGGTGGCTAGGTTCCTAGTCGAGGCCACAAACACTTATTTAATGTATTCTGAGACTGAAAAGCCTACATTTGACAAAACAAAAAGTAGAAAACAATACTGTTCTAATATTGGGAATTCAAAGAGGGAAAATATAAAATTGAATGAATAGGGATGGAAGTAGATGTCCCAGAAACCTTTACATAAATATATATTTTTAAATATTGGTATGAAAGACAAATTCTATATGATCTCTCTTATATGTGGGATCTTAAAAAAACAATAACAAAAGGAGAAATCCCAACTTCAGTTTTACAAGAAGAGATTGGTGATTGCCATGGGTGCTGGGGATAGGTTGGATGTGAAATGGGTGAAGGGGGTCAAAGGTACAAACTTCCTTCCACTTATATGATCAATAAATCATGGGGATGTAAGGTACAGCATGGTGACTACAGTTAATATACAGTATTGCATATTTAAAAGTTGCTAAGAGAGTAGATCTTAAAAGTTCTCATCACAAGGAAAAAGTTTTGTAACTATGTATGGTAAAAGATGTTAACTAGATTAATTGTGATGAACATTTCTCAATATATTCAAATATTGAATCAGGCTGTACACATGAAACTAACATAGTGTTTTATGCCTCAAAAAAAGTATCGGCGTTATTGCAAAGGCATGCAGGGGAAGGAGATTAAAAGATTTCTTTAAGTTTTTACTGCTTTAGATCAGAGGAGATAGTACATAGTGAACTAACCATTGGCAAATTTATATAGAGAGGGAATGTTGTTGAGGTAATTTTAAAGAAACCAAAGAGAAACTGTTATACAGTTTCATGTTATAAGTTTCTATGGGTCTGCTGACCATACTGAAGCTAAACTAATGACCAAGTTTAACTGTGGACCAATAAGACTCTTGAGACAACCACAAATTCTGACAGCAGTGAAGAGATGAACCATTTATCTTATCGATTCAAGTCACAATAAGCTCAGGTAGAAACAAAGAGAAATGTTTAAAGGACCAGGTGTCCAAATCATCCATCTGATACTCATCATCCGCTTGAAATATATAAAGCAACATCAAGCTAACTTCCTGGAGACTAGTATTACTGAATTTCAAAACATGCAAACAGGATGAAGTTAGGTCTTCCAACAACTTTGGGAACTTTGGGGGAGAATTTAAGATAGTCAGGGACATCTGGGAAAGATATGAACAGAGGGACGGGGAAAACTAACATGTTTACTGCCTACTATGTGTCATGCTTTGTGCTGATTGCCCTTTATAGAGGATCTCATTAACCTGTATTGCCACCATGGAGGGTATGTTATATTTTACTTTGAAGAACTTCCCAAGGACATTTGGTTACTAAGTGGTAGAGACAGGATACACACCAGGTCTGTCTACCTCTAGATCCCCTGTGCTTTCCACTGGCGGTAAGAGGTGGCATGTGTGCTGGCTGGCTACTTACACTCTGAAAACCCATTGATTATCCAGTAGGTAATTGGGCATTTGTCTAATCTTCTACTAGACTAGTCTGAGATAAAAGCAAAGCCATTTAATGACAGTTTTAGGATCCCCCAAGATATAAGATGCATAACTAAACAAACAACACGTCTTAAAAAAGTTCATCGTGAAAAAATTCTCTTGTAACTACTGTCAATTCTTACAAGTTGAATTAAGTTAAATTCATTCAGAAGCAACACAACAATAAAATGATTTATTTTTCCAGGCATGCAAAGAGAACTTTGACTAATGATAAGGATAGGTTCAGCCAGCCCTTCTCTTCAACTCAAAATACACAGCAGTGTCCTAGTTCCAGAGATGGAGCTCTCAGCCTCCTAGGGAAAACTGCCCTGGGCCAACGTCTTCCTTTCCTTGTGGTCTGGCCACATGCTGCCAAATTGCTGTAAGAAGTGCTTAACAGCTCCCTTGCAGTTCTGGAGAGGAGAAAGCTTGCCGAAGAGGCCAGCAATAACTAAGACACAACACAGATCAATCCAATCTCAGCAATAAATATTCCAAAATTTGTTACTTACACAGACTTTTCATACTTTCTGCATAGCCAAGAAATCTTAAAGAAGATGTCTGGTTTGAGAAGGAGAGCTTGCCATGCATCAAAATAACCCTGGATTTTAACCACGATGGCCCTTTCTGGAAAAACAGAAAAAGATCAGAACAGATGAGCAAAAATGTGAGCCCAAGGATGGTACACTGCTCAGAGAAGATCCCCTGTAGACTCTCCTACCATCTGGGACTCTAAGCAGGGCAAGGTTCCAACTCCAAAGGGTGTTTCAGCCAGGGGAATGCCACTAAGCAAATCAACACTAATTTATTCTCCTTGGCATCTAAATTGGCCACGTTAACCAGAGATTTGCCAGTTTTCAAGTTTGTGCTAGAGACACAGCCTAGAATCTCACACGCTTCTCCATGGCTGAGCCTCCAACTCCCTCCTGTTTTCCTGACTGTGGGAAATAAGAAGTAATTAATGCTGTTATGGCCTCAATTCTGGCACCTAGAAAGGCAAAAAGCCATGCTGCTCTGCTGTTTATATTTCGGTTCAGAGTGTAGAATTCATCTTGGAATCTTCAGTGCCTTGTCCTGAGTCTTGTGCACAGTCAGATCTTAACGGATGTTCTTGAATTAAATTGAATACTAGAGAAAAGAAAACCCCTTCTGTTTTTCAAATTATACACAAGAGAAGGGAAGAGACATATGCAGGTGCAGAAACTGCAGTTCACAGAAATGAAGAAGCTTGCCCAACAAAGTAGAAGCAGTGTGTCAGGAAGTCCCTAGGCTGGAGCCTGGTTCTATCTAACCTCAGGGCCATGTCCTTTCCTCTTTGGTGCACTGGGTCCCTCAGGCCAATTGAGAGTTTAACAAGGACCCGGTGAGCAGAGGGACATATGCATAAGTCTGTATGGGTTATGAAGGTTCTTAGACCGCAGTCTGCATCCATAAGTTAACGGACAGATGTACAATTCCCTTTACTTGATCCCTCCTAAGAATCAAGGCTAGTGGGGAACCAAAGAGCAAGGACTTCTAAAATAGGTACCTGTCATATCTTAGGAGAGATGTACGTGGAACAGGCAAACAGGACTTTCAGAGTCCCTGTGTGAAAGGGGATGAGGCAAGAGGCTGTGACTTGCAGAGTGAATGGGGCTCCCATCCTAATGTCAATCAGATGGGGTTCCTAGGACTCTGGTAAGGAATCATTAAAGAGGCAGGGAGATGAGGTGAGGAGAGTGGAGCAGAGAAAGGGAGGGCTTATCGCTTGTCTGCTTGTCCAAATGTGGTCAATCAGGGAGCAGGTGTGATAGCTCAGCTGGTCTGGGCAAGTGTGAAAATCGTGCTTTGTTCTTATACCTGTGATGTTGTTCTCTCATATCTCATTGGCTGAGCACGTGGCTGAGCACGTGGCTCATTGTTACACTTCATTTGGGGCTATTTTCAGACATCCTCTCCACAGAGAACTTCCTGACCACCCTTTGTCTCCACAAGAGCTTCAGCCTCCCGCTGACCTCCCCCTTCACTTTCTAGCCCTTTGCCCTGATTTTTTTTTTTCTTTTTTTTTTTTTGTGGTACGCGGGCCTCTCGCTGCTGTGGCCTCTCCCGTTGCGGAGCACAGGCTCCGGACACGCAGGCTCAGCGGCCATGGCTCGTGGCCCAGCCGCTCCGTGGCATGTGGGATCCTCCTGGACCGGGGCACAAACCCGTGTCCCCTGCATCAGCAGGCGGACACTCAACCACTGCGCCACCTGGGAAGCCCTGTTTTTTTAAGACACTTATTATAGCCTAATATATTACTAGATAGTTAGTTGTTTACTGTCCATATACCCACTAGGGTGTAAACTCTCTGAAGGCAAGGACTTCGTCTTGTCCAACTGGTCTATCCCCAGAACCTATGTCTGGCATAAAATAGGCAATCAATAAATATTAGTTGAATGAATGTATGAATCAATGAGCATTGCTAGAAATCAAGTCAGGAGAAATTACATTAAGCTGACAGCAGCAGAATGGAATGAATCCACATGATTAATGTTTGTTCTTTTGTTGGCAGTAGAGTTGCATGTATGTGTTTAATATTTGTTTCTGTAATATAGTGAGGAAAGCAGTTTCTTGAGTGAGACATCTTGCCAGGATTGTTATAAATGCTAAGTGACAAAGTTTATGTGAAGCAACTTTTTATACTGCTTGGCACATAGTAGATACTAAATTTATGTTAGTTATCATCATCATTTCCAGCAGCCTCAGTACCTTTATCATCATATAGAATCAAAATTTTCATACTTAGTGGCTTTGAGGGAGAGGTGTGTACGTATATTTATGTGTGTGTGTAGATAGATGGAACATGTCTGTGTGTTTGTGTGTGTATATATATATAACTATACATACATATATACACATATATATGTGTATATCATGCCCAAAAGAATGGTTGGTAATGGTTAAATACATAGGTTTGGTGGTAGGATATACTTATGACCAAATCAAATGATCACATCTGTTAAGTTTCAGCTGTGGGTAGGATCCTATTTTCTAGAGCAATGAAGAGAGATACAAAGGAAATAGAAGATGGCCCCTGCTGTGGATATTTATGACCTTATAAGTGAACAAGGCAGACATACCAGGAAAAATATTTGGGAATACTTAGAAGGGTTTAAAGAAGAGCAGTATGCAAAAGAGCGTATCTTCGCTTGAGTCCGTTATCCTTCTTCTCATGCCCTGTTTAATACAGGGCTGAATGTCAAGTCAGAAGAATGAAAATTTCAGGGCTTCCCTGGTGGCGCAATGGTTGGGAGTCCGCCTGCTGGTGCACGGGATGCGGGTTTGAATCCTGGTCCGGGAGGGCCCCACATGCCGCGGAGCGGCTGGGCCGGTGCGCCGCAGCTGCTGAGCCTGCGCTCTGGAGTCCGTGGGCCACAACTGCTGAAGGCCGCCTGCCACGGCTGCTGAGGCTTCCATGCCTGGGGTCCATGCTCTGCAGCAGGAGAGGCCACAGCAATGGGAAGCCCGTGCACCACAATGAAGAGTGGCCCCTGCTTACCACGGCTAGAGGAAGCCCGCGCACAGCAACGAAGACCCAACACAGCCAAAAAATAAATAAATAAGTAAATAAATATATTTTTTAAAAAAGTGAAAATTTTAGTACCGTCCAAGGGGATCCTCAGGAAGAGCTTGTTAGAGGTGTCCAGCATGATGCGCCGCATGAGGGTCAACACATCCACATAGCCCAACTTGTTGCGGACCTCCTCCAGCCTGTCCAGATGCTTGGTGATGGAATCAGCACAGACGGTCACCATGCGCACCAGGCTGGGGCCAGACAAAGCTGAAGGGTACACGTCAGAGTGAGGCGCCTCCAACTCCAGGGCACACAAACTATCAGGCAGTTTTGGCTTTTTATGTTTGGAGCTTAACTGACCACAAATTTTTATTCAATAAATGGGTGGAAATTTTCATATTCTTTTAATTTTTCTATATTCTACTGTCTACTAGAAAGTATCACTTTTATGATTTAAAATGAATGAATGAGTGAATGACAAATCTTTTTAAAACAAGTGATTCAAAATTAAACTTTTATTCTACCTATGACAAATCATTTGTGAGATTGCAAATGAAACATTTAGTATTTGTGATCATAAATTACAAATCAGTAATTTTCTATATTATGTACATTTCTCTCTAAAGAAGGTTTGGATTTCACTTGGGTGGTATTTTATGTTTCAGTGAGTGGCAGAATATTGCTACAGAACTATTCAAATTGGATCTTACTTTTTAGATCTAAGGTGCTTCCTGTTTAATTGTAGTTCATATGTGTAAAGTCCTAGTCTTATAAATTACCAAATGTACCCTTCTCTTAATTTTGGTTTCTCTTCAAACTACATCCAGATTAATTGTACTCAATCAATGTCATAACAACAAAACAAAACTTTGTTGGTTGAACAGTCTTCTTCACAGGACTGGGAACACTGGGGACAGTGATAACCTATTAGCATTGTACTTCAAGTCCATAGTACAGGGTGGCCCTCGATATATATTTGTCAAAAGGAGGAATGAATGAATGGATGAATGAATGAATGAAACCAGGTAGAGTGAACTGGCTCTGATCTCTCTCTTTCTTGGCTCCTGACCATCTGAGCATCTAGTGGTCCTAATGGTAGGTGGTCTAACATGAGTTAAACTCTTAAAGTCCTCCTTTCTCTGTTTGTTCAAGGTTGCTCTAAGCTTTCTTTAGGAGTAATATCTCTTTTTCATGTCTTTTTTATTCAGACTTGCTGTTAAAGTCAGAGCCCTCAAACAAAGCAAATCAGCTGTGCTGCAGAAGCCCCTGAAGGCACACTTTGCAAATAAGAAAGGAAACCTGGTGAGTGGTCCTAGAGTCTAAGCATTTCCACCCATGTATAAAAAGGAAGTTTGGATTGGCAGCATACTTTCTGACTTTAGGAGGGACCTGGAGATATGAAAGGCCAGGATGCTGTTTCCTGGGTGACTGTCACAATCACAAGTGAGATAAATGATTCCTCAATGAATCAATCCTTTGCATGGAAGGGTTGGCTTTGTTTATCACTCCCAGACTGATGTATGATTTGCCTCTATGTTCAAGAGCTTGAAACCACATTTCAAATGTATAAACCACATTTCAAATGTATAAAAGGAATGGGGAGCCTCTAGAACCTGGAAAAGGCAAGGAAACACTTTCTCCCTAGAGGCTCCAGAAAGGAACACAGACTGGCCAGTGCCTTGATTTTAGCCCCGTGAGACCCATGTCAGACTTTTGACCCATAAAACCGTAAGATAATGAATGTGTGGTTTGAAGCCAAAGGCTTCCATTCCAGCAGCATATAGTAAAGGGGGAAACCACTAGATAAGGAGGTTTGTAATCCAGTCTCTGCTCCTCCATACCTGGCTATGTTGCCTGGAGGAAAAATCACAGGCTCTCTAGAAATGTACTCCTTAAGTATAAAACTCAGAGTCTGGATGAAATGACATAACAACTCTTCTCAGTTCTAAAATTCTGTAATTTATTTGCAAATTGCTATTTTAAGACATCTGGGATGTCAGCCAATGATTCAGCAAACATGTTGGTTATGCTAAATCAACTATATGGCTGACATACTAAGTTCTTTTTTTTTTTTTTTTTTTTTTTTCGTTTTTGCGG